ATTTTTCTTTCTGTTTTCAACAAGGAAAAAGTTATGGGATTGCCGGTCGCAATGGTATCGGCAAAAGCACCATTACCAAAACTTTGTTGAAACTTTATCCTCTTCAATCTGGGCGGATATTGGTTAATGAACGGAATATTCAAGAAATAGATACTACTTCTTTACATGAAAGGATTTGTTACCAAACTAATCGGCCCGGTTTTTCTCGACTCACCATTGCTGAAAATGTGTTTTATCCCCATTTCTATCAGGAAAAGGACTTAGATAAGTTAACTGTGGCTGCCCAGGCGGTGGGAATTTGGGAATTCATTCAACAATTGCCCCATCAATTTCACACTTTACTAGAAGAAGGTGGCCGCGAATTCTCAGAGGGACAAAAACAACAAATTGCGGCCATGAGAATATTTGTCCGCGATTACGACGTTTATATTCTTGATGAAATACTAAGTAATATTCATCCCGTGCTGAAAGAAACCATGCTTCGTAACATTTTCGCCCGAATAAAAGGTAAAACTGTTATCGTAATTGACCACCACTACGAGATTTTTCAATATCTCGATTATGTTTATCAGTTTACCGGTAAAGCCTTGATTACTAAGGAAAAAGAAGACTTTTTGGTTGCTTAAATTATTTGGTTAGCAGAGTAATGGACTATACTTGGCTTTATTTAGATAGAGATAAATATAATACAGTTTCAATGGTTCGTTTACTGCTCACTGTTATTTTTTTTGAAGAAGCCGATAGGGTCTTCTTCCCAAACTTGCTTAATTGGTTGAATATTGGCTTGTAATGAGTGTGGGAAAAAATCGGTTAAAAAAGCAATATTTGGCAAGGAAATTTAAGTATTTTTGCTAGTAATTAAGTAATGTTTCCAATTTGGTTCAGATAACAAAATGTATTTTCTTTTTAAACACTTTTGAATATTTTTTCTTATTATGCTTATTTTGCAACCACAATGAACAACGAGTTTGCTGAAAGATAACGAAAAAATGCGGCGTTAGAAAAAGAAATTAAGAAATGGTTAATTTATTTATTAATCAATTTTAAGAACGAAAAATGTCGCTGGTAATACAATGGAAAAACTAGAAAAAGTGTTTAAAAAGAAAATACATTTTGTTATCTGAACCAAATTG